CACACACACACACACACACACACACACACACACACACACACACACACACACACACACACACACACACACACACACACACACACACACACACACACACACACACACACACACACACACACACACACACACACACACACACACGTACAACTGTATCATTCGCTTCTCGCGTTCCAGTGAAGCCATCGCATTGTACACTGTTTCTTTCGCATATCTTACATCTGTAAATAGACTGTCTATACAAGACGAATGAAGCTGACTTTCTTTATATTAACCCGTCTGAGATTTTTGTTTGCTTGGCGCTCTCCCCCGATCAAACCTCTTTCGAATCCTAGGACGCGTAATCCGACGAGCTGCATCCGCGCAAGTCGACAGTTAGGTCGTTACACGTCTATTAAGCTGACAGAGTCACTTTAGCACAATCGAATGAAACCTACACAGAAATTTAGGGTAAACATACCGATGAGGGGAGCCAGCTCCGTAGTCTTGATCTTGACATATGTTATCATGACCCTGAGTAATCTCCAACAGGTTTTAGTCATCGCTCGTTCTTCGTTAAAAAAATATTAACAAATATATTGGTTCCGGAAACTTCCTTCTGAAATCTAGTGGTGCTTGTATTCCCAAGGCTTATGCTCTGCCTAAGATTCACAAATTAAATCATCCCTTTTTATTTCATCCATTAACACAGTTTTGTATCCATTAGCCAAGGTTCTTATGAGGATTATATCATCGAGTATTCCAAAAGTAGAGGATTCATTAACAATAGTTTCGAATTACATGATAAATTGTTGGGTATGATGGTGGAAGAGTCAGATGTACTGTTTTCCTTAGATGTAGTTTCTCTTTTTACTAATGTTTCTTGTGAACTTGCATTGAAAGATATTGAGAAAAGATGGGAATTAATTGAGAAATCCACCACTATCCCTAAGGATGAATTTTTAAATGCTATAAATTTTATTTTAACATCAAATTATTTCACTTTCAATGATGTGGTTTATAGACAAGTTTTTGGTACACCGATGGGTTCCCCTTTGTCTCCGATTTTAGCGGACATAGTGATGCAGGATTTGGAGGAGAGTGTGGGGGGTTTATTGAGTATGTCCATGTATTACAGATATGTTGACGATATTTTGATTATGGCTAAAAGAGAAGAAGTTGAGAAGATTTTTGAGGTCTTTAATAGCTATCATGACCCATTGAAGTTTACTATGGATTATGAAAGTGATAGAAGTATCAATTTTTTGGACTTATCTTTGAATGTAGTGGATAATAAATTGATTTTAGATTGGTTTCACAAAAAGACATTTTCAGGTTGTTATCTTTCTTATTATTCGAACCATCCAAAATGCATTAAGAGAGGAATAGTTTATGGATTGGTAGATAGAGCAATTCTTTTGTCCCATCCTTCTTTTTTCTACAAAAACATTTGTTTATGCGTTGAAATGTTGATTAACCCTTTAATAATAGTTATCCGTTAGATTACATATTTAATATTATTAATAGTAGGATGAAATGCTTGATAGAAAGATGCAAGGTTGAATTCTCTCTTAATAAAAACAAAAATATCAGATTAGAAATTAATAAAGAAAAAAATCATTTAGTGGTTCCCTTTATTGAGGGCATTTCTGAAAAAGTGATGGATGTTATTGATGTCTCTAATACTTTTATCAAAGTAAGCCTATCGGCCATAGTACCTTAAATAGATTGGATAAATTCATTAAGGTTCAGAAAGATATTACCAACAAGTTTTGCAAAAACCATGTGGTTTATAAAATTAAATGCAGAGATTGTGAGTCCACTTATGTGGGCCAGACAAAAAGACAGTTGCAAACTAGAATTAAAGAACACAGAAATAACATAAGATTGGATTCGTCTAAACACTCAATAATCTCTCAACATATTATTGATTATGGTCATAATTTTGATTGGGAAAATGTTGATATTATGGATGTTGAACACAATTACAAAAAAAGATTGATTTCAGAGATGTTACACATTAAAGAACAACCAAAAGGGTTGAATTATATGAGAAATACTGAGCTGTTGAGTGAATCTTATACTTCTATTTTAAATGAGATTTCGACACGGAAATATTCAAAATTGTAAGATATTGTTAACCAATTACAACCTTATTTTCTCGTGTAGAAAAATTGTTATTCCCAATGAGATTGTGATTATTTCCGTTATCGTCATCCAGTTATATTATTGTTTGTAATTGAGTTTGTCGGTTGACTTTCATTTATTTCTGTTCGTTCATTACATTGTTGTCATGAGATACTTCAACATGTTATATGACGTTGTTCTTCTTCTTTTTAATTTGAAAGCTTTTTAAGGAATGGACAATGTAAGTTTTTTTTGTTTTACTTTGCATTAATAGCTTATTAAGATTTATGATGACTTAATTTTGGTATTTATGATTGTATCTAGATTTGTTTGACATATTTGAATTTCTCGCTTCTAAACGATCAAATTCTAATTTTGGATTATGACTAAATTGATTGATGAGACTGTATGGGATTGAAAAGAAGAAGGACACCACAAAAGAAGGTTATTCCTGGTTCATAATTTAATTGTTACCGAAATTTATGGTTCCATCTAATTAACTACTGAATAAATTTATTGTATTTCACTGATAAAGGCTCTGTGTAGCCGAAACGTTTGAATATTCATGTATGATGTCTTATGTAAGATTATATTAAAACTAAATTTTATAATTTTTTTTATTTTTTAAGATCTAATTGACGTCTTATGTAAGTTTATATTAAGATTAAATTTTATAATTCTTTAATTTTTAAGATCTAATTGTTGCTCGTAAGGGTCGTTCACTTATTATTGTTTTTAAAATTGTTCGAGCGTGATATTATTATTATTGTTAACAAAAAAAGTTTCAAAAAATAACATTCCTTTTCTATAATACAAAACAAAAACTCTCTGCTTTGCAATGGATTTTGTGCTTTAAAAACAAATTTTATTTGAAAATGTTACTTTTTCATATAATTTTTGTTAGGTGTACAATTGGTAAAACTACAGAAAAGGGGAGCTACCCCCTATGACTTTGACCTTGGCATATGTTGTCAAGGTCATGACCCTGAGTAACCTCTCGCAGGTTTAGGTGGCGGTCGCTGTCCGTTAAAAAGTTACAACGAAAAAAAGTTACAAAATTAACGTATCATTTCTGGAAAATTATACATATTAACGTATCATTTCTGCCATATATGTATGTATTATAAAAAGTACTATTTTACATCTCCTCCTGTTTAGAAACGTTAAATTTTTCACGCGAAATAACTCTCACCTCCCCCAACCCCCTGCAAAGGGGCACACGACTTCTATAATTACACTGTTGGGGGAGACCTCTACCGACGGGGTGGATGCGGGAAGGGGGGCCGAAGGCCACCCCTTTGTACCCCCTTGCACCCCCGTGTGCGTGCGTGCGTGTGTGCGTGCGTGCGTGTTCCATTTGATATATAACGATTATGAGTCTATTACTTGATGTTTTACACACACACACACACACACACGGAGGGGTGCAAGGAGGGCCTTTGCCCCCCCTCCTCCCTCACCCACCCCGTCGGCAGAGGTCTCCCCCAACAGTACAATCAGAGCAACAGTACAATCATAGAAGTCATGCCCCTTTGCAGGGAGTTGGGGGAGGTGAGAGTTACTTCGTGTGGAAAGTTTAACGTTTCTGAACAGGGAAATGTGTAGAATAGTACTTAATATCATACATGTACAGCAGAAATAATATCATACATGTATAACAATTACAATAGTAATTAATATCATACATGTATAGCAGAAATAGTACGTTAACTTTGAAACTTTTTTTGTTAATAACTTTTTAATGGACCGTCATCTAAAACCTGCGGAAGGTTACTCTGGGTCATGACCTTGACAACATATACCAAGGTCACGGTCATCGAGGTACTTTCTGTAGTTTTACTGTATAATTATATTATCCCATATAGATTTTTCAATTTTACATAAATATTTTATTCAAAATATTTCATTCAACTTTATTATTAATGGGATACATTTCACTCATTGTTGCGGAGTGCGCTGATAATAAATTTTGATTCGGGAATGGAGGGGTAGAGGGGGTTGACTGTTAATGTCTTTCAGTTGGCATGAAGTCACTTTATTTGACACTACACAGATAATTAAATATCACTCGTAACAATTGAGCACACTTGACGAACGGTGGACAAAAGCAACGGGAACGTACGGAAATCTTGCCCTTGATCAAACGTGCTGCGCGCGAGCGCGACGGAAATCTTGGGCGGAACTGTACTGTAGTTCCGTACGCGACGGAAATCTCGCGACGATGCTAACGAAATATCGCAGCGATCAAGGTCCGAACGCAGATACGCGATACACCGTTCGCTACATCAAGAATTTGGAGAGTCTCCGGAAAATCTCAATGTCGAAGCGCGTGATGACACGTGCGGTAACACAGGCAGACGAAAATGTGCGTGTATCTCATTAAATTAACGAAATGAACGGAAAATATCGCGGGCACGATATTAGACCATTTTTGCCGATGACCGGCGAAAAGAAATCACTTTCGAAGCTCGACGGATTACTTTAACAACGCGGAACACGAATTTTCGGTAACTCGAATGCGTGTTAATACTCCAAGAGCCGGAAGAAGAAAGTGTAAGGAAGTATGATATTAGCGACTCAATTAGGCAGAAACAGGGGTGCGCGAGAGATCAAAATCGATATACAGCGCATTCGAGTTGACGAAAGAGGATCGCGAATGGTATTTACCCTTGGGCTGACAAGGATCGACAACGCGGATGCTTCGTTCGCAAGGAAAGTTGTGATTCGCGAACTCACCGACTGACACGTCTCATTATGTCCGATCACGCGACATTTAACGTTTCACGGAGACTCTCAAGCATATTAGACGGTTCCGGAACACTCATAATATCAAAAAATACTTTAATTCTTCTTTCGAATGAATACATTTTTTTAAATAAAAATTCAGCAAGTTAATGTTTATAATGTTTTTCGCTTATTCCGTAACGAGGAATTGCACTACGCATATCACGCCACATCTTTTCAACATTTTGCGTGTGACATCCACTTACAGGATTAACAAAATTTTTTGAATGGTTTACAGTAGCATGAATATAATTATGCTGACTTAATGAAGAATATCCACGCCAATAATCACTGTATATGGTTGTTTCAGGCATTATATGACGACGTATTTCTTGTATCAACGTACATTCAGTTCGATCTTTTACGGGAACTATGAAAATACGACCACTATTGCGTTCATACCCCGCAAAAACACACTGTCCTCGTACAATAGGACCTCGATTATATTTGCATTTTCCAATTTTAGCCTCATCGACTTCTACTATTTTTCCTGATCCGCCCAAAACTATATATTTTTCCAACCATTGTGCCTGTAATAGGATGTCGATTAATCCCTAGATAATATTCAATGCGTTCCTAAACCTCGTACTAGTAAATAATATAGGTACACCAATCCAGATGATGCATCGGGGAGTGATAGGTGAGGTTAGATGGATCTTATCTTGGCGGTAGCATTGTTGTTGGCGCCTGTTGTTTATAGTCGTAAGAGTGATTGTATAATTGAAAAATAAAGTAATTTTGATACAAAACACAACACTTATTACATGGTGTCAGAAGTGGAATACAATACTCTCAAACATGGATTTACGCTTGCCACAACCACTCGAATGCACGAACCTAATCAAAGAGTGGTCAGGATGGAAACAAACATTTTTAATATATCTAATAGTCAACAACAAAACTAGTGGAAGCGAACAAAATAGAATTGCCACTTTCCAATGGCTAATTGGCCCACAAGGGGTTGAAATATTCAACACTCTATTTTCTAATAATAGAACCTGCGAAAGCATGTTTGGCTTAGCTACAACTACAAATCAGACAGCGGAAGCATCATCAACCAGCAGTGTTACTCAGCAAGAAGTAAATATAACTATTTATGATAAGGCTCAATAAGTATTCAACTAATAATATATTGAAATAAGGGCAATGAGCCAATTTTCATTAAAATCTTTAAAATCAATCTAATATATTGCGAAGACTATCACGTAATGTTGGCGTTTCGTCCCGGCTTCCACTACTGGACTCATCAGTAAGGTATTGTAATGGAAGCCTACCTTAGACGCCTGTTTTAGTTATTAAATCGAGATTCTATATATACAGAAATAAGCGTATCAAAGCACTTACGAGAATCTTATATCTATAGACCTCTGATGGCGGGTCGACGTAGTAATATTCTTCGCAATATATTCTTCACAGTAATATATATATATATATGTGTGTATCCTTCCCACCCCCCCAACGCCCCATTTGCGCGCCGAACAATTGTCGGTCTTTAAACGCAATTCTATCTGAAAATACTAATATACACTGAAAATGACCCGATCGGAGTCGACACGTTTGGTCTTCCCGTTAATAATTCCAACCGCGAACATACTCC